CTCCGTTACAGCCATAGAACAACCGCTCTTGCAGAGAGTCCACATCTATTTGTGCTGCTACCGCAATGTGTTGTGTTTACCAACATTTGATGTGCTGCAGCAGACTTAAGCTGCCCAACTGTAGTGTTTTAAGAAAGTGACGCGTTTTCGTCGCGTCCGTTCATGTGTTTACAACGTTTTCTCGGCATAGAGGGTTTATGTCTCATCGCTTATTAAGGATGAGTGTCATGAGAGGGGCGATGACAATTTCGTATCCACTTTTGGTATTTTGCTGATAATTAAAATATTGGAATAGATACCAATAATCGCCGCACTAGACTCCGTTTTTAAAATACTATATTACTCCATCCCTCATTCTACAGATATATGCAGTAGATGTCCAAAACTTACTGGATGTGGTCCACATCTAAGCGTTTCATTGGTCAGATTTTCAGGATGCGTTATTTTGACCAATAGAAAAACATTTATAGTGGGTTATTGTGCTCAGTTGTGCCAATCAAAATGCGTGAGAGATACCCCTAGCGCTCTTTTCACAATTTTTCTAATGCAGCAGATCATGGTGAGCACGTACACTTTTTTTTAAGAGACCAAGTAATGGCCACGACCTACCTTCCTGAAAATACGTGTTCGTGTCTTCTACACCTTTCAACTTCAAAATGGCAAATTGCTAGTTCAATGTGTTAAAACGTAAGTTCAGAGCGTCATTTGCCAATACTATCGATGGTAGCTAGGAGAATGGTGGAAGGCCAAGGAGGTTGCGCGAAGAACTACGAACGGGGTTGAAATGCCAAACTACCCAACAATAAAGCACCACACCGCTAAGTCACGTGCCGTATTTGTATCACAAGTAAACCATCGTTTGTATAAGCTGTTGAGATTTTGAATTTACATTGTGCCACATTGAACTATGAATTTGCCACTTGGAAGTTGAAAAGGTGTGTGAAAACAGAGTAATAAGTACGCGCTAGGAGTTTTCCCATGCTATTTTCATCTCCAAAATCTGACCTCGTACTCACAAGATATTGCAGATTATATTTTTACTGCATATAAATGTGGGATGGAGAGGTACACGTAGGTTAGAAGTACACGTAAGTTAGAGTAGTCCGTAAGATGGTGGTACTGAGGACTGAGCTCACAATCACAGTATACACGTAACCACCAATGACGACGTGTGTGGGGTTATGCTGGATACCCAACCACACTTTTTTTTTGCGACAATATCAACTCATGATCATCTCATATGATATATTAATAGTCGGTGGAATACTTCGAACCCGTTTATAAATATTAGGAGCAATAATTGTCAGAAAAAAGCAAATTCATTTCAAAACAAATCATTTTTAGTGCATAAAGCAATAATTGTCAGAAAACGGTACAAACTCCAGTATGCACAAAACATTTTTAAAGGTAGGAGTAAATTACCCGTCATTTATTCAAATTAAACATCATCCATCTCAAAATGATATTACCTAAGACGACTACTGTCCTAGTTCTCAAGCACTACGCGGTAACGAGCGCGCCCCTCGCGCATCATCGCAACGCCTTCGTTCACCTTGCTCATGAGCATCTGCTGGACGATGGCACGCACGTTCTTCTCCGACGCAAGTGTCAATATATTGAAACGGATCAGGTTGTCGTGCGGACCACAGTGTAGCCAGTCCAGATGATGATAGGATGCATGAGTGGTACGGGCCGTGTCAGTTGGATACAGGCCACACGCACGGCGACAACGGGGCGTGTGAGGGCGACGTGCGGCACGGGAGATGCCCAAATGGCATTGAAGTGCAGTACGTGCGGCCTACACACCACGGGGAATCCAGTGTGCGAAGTGCGGTGAGCGGTGAGAGCCGCTCAGTGTGAATTGTGCTCTGGAGGGCACAGACTGTGGCTTGGACGACCAGGCAGTGGATGACGCGAGAGTCACGGGAGACGACGCCGTGTGGCAAGTGCTCACGGGGAATCCGGTGCAAGCTTGAGACGGTGACGAGTTGGTGGTGTGTGCTGACGGGGAATCCAGTGCACATCGCTTGGAGTTGTTGTGAGTTAGTTCACGGGTGGAGCGCACGCGACGGAGGAGCCAACGTGTGTGTGCAGCCCCAGGACAAGCTTTGTTGATAACGTAGGTGGCATTAGCAGTTGACTAAGGCGACTTATTGGTAAATAAAGTAGGAGCGAACACAGGTGGTGTACGTTCCGGCGCAGGGTCAAGTTGACCCTGTCGGCCAGCATTGTGTATTGTTGCTTTAAGAACTGCTACGTTCTAGTGGTAGCGGACGCCGCAGCGCAGCACTGTGGAGCGACGACCCGCCCCACGGCAGGACGAGATAATTGGCCCGTTACATGTTTGTCATACAGGGGCATCACAACAAGAGGATGACAACTACGAGAACGACGATGAAGGCTGCGCCTGTGGGAGCTTCACCAAAGACCGCCGGCAAAGGCAAGATGAGTTTGACGCGTCAAAGTGCGTCTAACGACAGCGACGAACGATGGAGCGATACTGAGAACAAGCCGCCTGGGGGCGCGGTGACCCGGTTGCACAAGGATGGAGACGCGCCAGCTTGACACTGAACGCGGAGAAGTGAGTGCCGACGAAGACGGTGCCATCATCGAAGCTCTGAGCACGACGCGGATCCACAGGTCGAGGATGAGACACCGGCGATCGACGACACTTCTGGGAACGCCGGCGGATCGGGTGGCACGGTGGCGACCACTCAACCGGATGTAACGGCTATGGCGGTCGCCATTAGCGAGTTGAGAGACATGGTGGCGCGGCTACAACCTGCATATGGCACTGATGACCACGGTGGACGGCGCCATGGACGACGACACGGCGGTGCTGTGGCGGTACGAGCGACACCCTGGTCACCAGGACGACTCCGACAGCGACGGGGAAGGACAAGCGGCTC